GGTGCGGAAACATGATCGAGCGTAGATTCTGCGTGGCAGCAGCAGCAGCGACGCGTCGTGAGCGAGCGGGCATGCGTGTGCTACAAGCACAGGATCCCCCTGCTCCCCCACTCACTCGTCGGAGAGGAGGTGCAAGTCGTGCTTGGCTGCGAATTTGGCCAGCTCGATGACGCTGTGGGCGGGGCGGGGATGCGTGAGAGTGAGCTGGCGTGCGTGCATGACGAGCAAGAGTACCCGCGACGTGCACTCACAGCTCTCTAGGGTAGATGGCTCCCGTGGGATTCTGGGAGCAGAGGGGTGTTGGGGCAATCAGCACGAGCTTGCACAGCGCAAACGCCCGCCCGCGCTAGCTCACGTGAGGATTGCAGAGCAAGAGAAGCCTAACATCGATTCCCCTTTTGGTAGCATCAAGATAAGCCTTTTCGTAGGCCTGCACATGCTGAGCAATGTCGAGGGGAACATCTGCCGGGCTGACGGGCACCTCTACAATCTGGACTTGGGAACGCGTATTGAAATCATTCCAAAAGGCATTGTAAGCGGGCACGCTGAGCAGGATGCCATCCCGCGCATCGCACAGCGCCCAGCTGGCATTGTCCAGGATGCCGGTTGCGCCGGATCCGATGATGATGTGTTCTGGTTGCAGCGCGGTGATGAGGCGAGTGTGTTGGTGCTGTCCGGTGAGCGGTGGTACACCGTCTGGCACCTCGTTGAAGAGCTTGCACAGCGCCACTGCGCGTAGCGTAACCGGGAGAGTGGGTGGAGGGGTGAGCAAGGTGAAGCGGCCAGTGGTGACCAGCAAGCAGATCACGTGGCACGGCGCGGCACGGCACGGCACAGCGCAAGCAGCTCACCCAGCAGCCGCTGAGATGCAAAGATGCGGTCTGCGTACTGATGGGGGCGTGTGCAGTGAGGGCGTGCAGATGGGCAGTGAAGCATGCGATGCGGTCAGAGGATCAGGGAGCATGCTGCGGCACAAAGTGATGAGAGGAGCATGGCATGGCATGTACTTACCGTCAATTCCCTCGCATTCAAGTCCAGATTACCTTGAGCGTTGAAGAACTGGCGTGGGAAGGTGAGGGAGGTGAGGGGGGCGCGCACGTGAGCCGATGAGGTTGCCCCTGCCCTGCCCTGCCGTGCCCTGCCGTGCCCCTGCCCTGCTGAACTCTCGACATGCGCGCACACACACACACACACACAC